TCATTAAAAGACGAATTAGAGACGCGTAAAAATTATCTTTTGAAATGTTAATTATTTTGAGCATTTTTTAAATTTGAATCTTGTTTGTATGTTACAGTATCATCGTAGCTAAATGCTGCATAACTCCGTTCGTTGCGCATCGAGAGTTGGTGAGTCAAAAAAAATTTTTTTTATTACCTCTGTGAAGTTAGCACCCCATCTTTCAAAAAATCATTTTTTTCTTCAAGTTCTGAATGCACCCCGAAGAGTTCTCGAGTTCCTTGTTAATTTTAGAAATAGTTTCGTCGAATAAAGCTAAAAAAACCGTTGAATCTTGAGGGTGCTAACTTCACAAAATGAAATCACTAAATCAGCGATAACACGAGTTCTACCAAAAACTATTGATGTTTGAAGCGCTACGACCGATATATAAAAAGTTCTCGATGTATTCCGTTTTTGAGTAAAATAAAAAAGTTTTTTAAAGCTCTGGGAGTTTTGTTGAGAGTTCTGGGTAGCACCTCAAGAGTTCTAAAAAAAATCCTAATGGTAAAATTAAATATTTTTAATACTTTTATTGTTATCGCTGATTTAGTGATTTCATTTTATGAAGTTAGGACCCTCAAGATTCATCAACGGTTTTTCTAGCTTTATTCGCCGGAACTACTTTTAAAATTAACAAGGAACTTTAGAACTCTTCGGGGTGTGTGTGTTCGTAGTGTGGTGGAAATGATAGCATTATAATACCGTTTTTCTTTGCAAAATCAATAGCATCACTTATTGATAAGTGAGACTCGTGATTATCTAGTAAAAGTAGAACACGATTACTTTGATTGCATCTTACATGCTTTACGAAATGAATCAAGTATAAACGAAATAGATCTTTATTCATCTCTTCACCCAGATGGATTTGCTCCCTCAGAACTACCCACAGGACCGTCGCGAATAAAATGATCTTTGAAATGAACTCGGGGAAATACAAAAAATGGTGGGATGTAAGTTCCAGTAGTCGGTGCAAGCTAATGTGACAAGCTGTCCTCTCTTAGCAGAAGTTTTCTACCACGTCTTGCTACTACTTTATTTGGTTTTTGTACCGTAAATACTCCAGTTTCATCCATGTTCCATATATCATGCGATTGCACTTCAAAACGTGTCATAACATTTGTCAAATTATTAAAAAACAATTCAACATTATTGCGATTAAAGCTGGTAGCTCTAGTTAAACTTGTTGCTTCAGGTGTTCTTAAACTTAATATGCTGTGACGTTTCATAAAACTGAACCAATCTTCTCCGGCTTTTTGATTTTTAGTCCAACTTTCAGGGATGTTTGCTTTAATAGCTATAGCATATTGATATGCTAACTTTCTAATTTCTCTCGGTGACAATCCAAAATAAATATTGCTACACTTTAAAATGTATTATTCCAATTTATCTTATGTATATTATAGTTCGAATCGTATGCATGTATATTATGTATATTATAGACGAACAAAATATATATCATTTATTTCGACCGAGCGATTATTCATCCCCGCACCTTCAACGCGCGACTCGGTTTATTCCTTTTCTTCGATCTTCCTTTTAATTCTCGCTGCTGCAGACACTCGGCTTCCCCTCTGCCGTTAAATGCCGACAGATCAGTCCTGAGAAGCTTCTCATCGCTTCGTCCTGATTTTCCTTCGAGTACACCTGCAAAGGCAATTATAATAACATTGGCTAAACCGACTTGGACATGTGTGTCGCGCACGAATTAACGAGATTCTGTTCTACGCTTACCTTGTTAATTACTATTGTCGGTACGAATTTCAAGGGAGGCTCGAGGGCCTCCGTTTTGTTGCCGTTCGCCGCAAGCAAATCGTCCGCCAGCGGACTCGCGATGCAGTCGTCGATCAATTTTCGCGTTTCTTCGCTCAGGCCAACATCTCGAGCGCACTAAAATTCAGTCGTTGCATTACTATGATTTATGTTAAAGTTTTTTATTATTTTAACCCGACAGATGACCGTATTTATCAGCGAGAAATTTTTGCACCGTATATATTTTCATACAATAATCCCAAGGTTAGATAATCTCTCAAAGTGTTCAAGTACATGTAAGTGTTTAACGCGAAGGATACCTGAAAAACACATTCCAATGTTTTGAATGTGCTCAAATTATTTTTCACGCTGTTTCTTTTATGCGCAATCAAACGATTAAACGTGAAACGTGGAGAGAAAGTGAATTCCATTTCTTAAACTGATTTCTGTACTTCTGTAGATGATAATTCTCGTGTTATCACTAATTCTCGCGATAACACGCGTAATGCGGCATTTAATGTTTATCGGTGTATAACAATACGTGACTCGTTATGTTTTCTTATCACGTCACGTAAATCACAAAAGTATATGGTGCAACAATTTGTTTATTATTATCATTAAACCATATATAAAGAAACGCTTAGCCCATTCTGCCCGCTAGATTGGTTTTGTCACGAGGCAAAATATATTTTATCGCTAGACGGTTAGATAATAATTTAATTCTGATTTCTCTCACATCTCTCAGTATTTTATCCAATGATGAAACATCTCTTATCTCAAACTTCACAAACACAGCATTGGTTTTTAAATTTAATTAAATGCAGCCACGAGTCGACGTTTCGTCAAAACACTGTTATACTGCTCGGCGTGTCGCAGCACGCGATCGCGCGAATTCAACGGGAAAGTATGTCAAAAGGTCGACGTTACGAGTTAAATGTCGACTCTTACTCATCGGTGCAAGTCCTACGGAGATTAATTACACGTTACTCGGGTAAAAGCACGTTCACCGCGGCTAATCGCGGCCGGGAAAATTACGGAGGCGAAGCAGCCTACCTGCGGGACGGCGGTCGCCGGGTTTCCAGCGGACATTGCACAACCGACCAGACTGACCGTCAGCGGCTGCTGATTCTCGGCCGCCTCGGAGGACCGTATGGAGTGAATCGCGCAAGCCTGGGCCTTATTCCCACGGCACTCGGCGGGCCCGTGTTGACACAAGAACTGCCACGGACCGGTTTCGGTATCGCGCGTATGCTGTGTGCAGAGAGACATATATACACGCCATCAATTTGCATTTAATAAATCGTAAAAACTATACAATATTTTCCTCGTGGCCGACGCGGACGAGACCGAGGACCACAGCACGAGGGCAGTTGTTTTGCGTTTTCAAGGTCGCGTGGCTCGACGCGGATCCTTGGATCCGATTCACTGATACCTCGACGTGAAAGAAATATTTGATACAAAAGCCAGTAAACAAAAATAAATATGAGCTCTTTAGTGAATTAACAGATTAAGACGATTAGATATATCATGACATCGAATAGTTTAAAAATAGATGTATGTTGAAAGCAGATAAAGTATATTTCCACATGTCTTCACGTGATTATCCTTGTCGATATGCAATCGCCTCGCTGTCATCTCATTATCGTTGCCTCAGGCCGAGGCGATAAAATCAATTATGAAGTTACTTACCGTAGCCTTACCGTAGGGTACCAACGTGATGTGAACATGACGCTTCAATTCCGGATACGACGGCAAAAGCTGATTTACGATCCATCGCATGCTATCACTGCATAACGATTCATAATAAACATCGACGTTGACCACGTTTTTATCTGATTCACCATCGGCCGACTGCCCGTTGGACTTCAACAGATTTATAAAATTATCATGTACTCTTCGTTATAAATATCAAATTTTTTCAAAAAACTCGTCTTTCAAATCTTCTCGTCTCTTGTAAAAAACTCGGATCAAGAAGAATTGATAGACTTCTCTTCTATAGATGTGAATACGCGATTTTCGAAAGCGGGGAGAACGGTTCGAACATTTCTGAATTTTACTCTAATTATGTCTATTTCTTTTTTCAATCAGTATGTTAAATCTCCCAATAAAGTTAAATAATTTAATTAATTAATTAAAATTAAAATTAAAATTAATTAATTAAAATTAAAATTAAATTGATTATATTTCTATATCAAGATATTGTTTTAATTCACGTTGTTTGATTAAATTGTTCAGAATGTCAAGTAAAAATTACGGAGTTAGATTAAATTAGTGCAACGCCAAAAGTGCTGAAGTGAAAAACAGTAAAAGATTATAAAGAATATTATTAAGACTCATACACTATAAATAAAAAACAAATATTTTCTTTAAAAGTAGATACAAAATATTGGGAGATTCGTGAGATCAAGAGTTTGATGTTTAAATCAATTTACGAATATTGGAGATATTTGATGAAAAGACGGATATATTAATTTATCTCACGAAAAGTACCAGTTTTAAGATTCACGCTTACCAGAACACCATGAGAGACGAGGGCGATAAAGACGGCGGCCGCCAACCGGGCGCGAGAAATCAAGTAGTATCGCATGGTCGTGCCGTTGATGAGTGAGTCAGGGAAGGCGTTTTCAACTTGCTGCGGACAATAGTCGACGGACGAACGGAGATGGACACGAGAGAGGGAGATACGAAAAGCCGCGAGTAGTGGGGAATTGAAAAAGAGAGAGTGAAACGAGATAATCGATAACGGAGGGAGAGAAAGAGAGCTCACAGCCTCATCCTTGCGATATTAGTCAAGGACGTTTCTTAGAAAACAGACCCATTGTATGAAAAATAAAAATAAGAATTTTTATTTAGACAAAGTGAGTTACTTCAAGTTGACTACAAAATATTCTTTAACACTACTAAGCTTGGCTGTTCTAAGCCTGTATTCCAGTAGAAAGTGAAGATCATATGTCATAGAGCTGTTGAAAGTCTTCAGCCTCTACACTCGTGTTTGAAAGCGAACTATCGTGAAACTAATAAGCTTGTATCCATGATTGAAGCATCGAGACAAACGTGTGCGTGTGACGTGTGCGTGTGTCTGTGCATGTGTGTGTCGTGTAACCCACCGTTGATATTTTTTCTCTTTCTTAGTCATAGTAATTAGCTCACATACGTTTCGGTACTGCGACGAAGAGATCTTGACTTCTTCCTCGTCGGAAATCTGCGAGATTTGTGCCCCTCTTGTGTTCTTGTCTTTTTTTTATAATTTGGCCGTCAAGCAATACTGCTCAAATAAGGCCCGAGCGATCCACTCGCATATCCACTCGCGATCCAATAGCAGTGCAGGCATGATAAATTAATTATGCTTTGATATATCAAAATGATGTTTCTAAAGTGATGTAGGAAATTAGTTCGCTATTTCTTTATTTAATTTCGCATTTTCTTGTTTAAAGACGGTTTAAAGATTCATTTTCCGTCGTTTGTTATGTCAACTTTTCGGAAATAACATTATTTTTAGTTAGCTAATAATTGTAGGTGAAACCTTATACCTTTTTTTAGGAGAACAAAATTTTTCTGCATAGCTAATTACTTTGGAGCATTGTATTCAAAATTTGCTATGCAGTTTGCGAGGAAGTTCCGTAGACTATCTCGCAAACATAGCGGAGCGTGTTTTAATCTCTTCTCTTGAAGTTCCGTAGCTCCGCACCTTTTAAAATATAGTTTATAAGGAGGAATTATTACACGATATTTTCTCGAAAAAGAGTTCATTTTTGTGTGAAAGATGTTATACGTAGCGCTTGTTAATCTCGGCAAGAGCAATCTTTTTTTAAACGTTGCGTAAAAAGACAGGTATTACTTTTATTTTTTATTAAATTTATTTTATAAATTACAATTTTACACATTTTTAAGTGTGTTCGGTGGGAAAAAGGAAATCGAATGTCGATAGCTTTTTCTCGGAAAAATCTGATTCAGACAATAATGATTAGCTACTCAAGAATGAGTAGGCTGCCACAGCGCGGAAGGTAATCGTTGGGCCCAGGAAAGAATTATAATACCGAGTGTACATCAAATCATACGATACTACTGATATTTATTTTCTTGACCGATCGAGGAACCTTAAAATTTATGAAATGTAGAGAACAAAGAATTCTCATTCCTCAAGGAAAGGCTAAATACGGCTATAAGGTATAATCATGTGATCTTTGCCTGTGTAAATTCAAGGTGGATCTTATCCACCTTAGCAAATAAAATTTTACTAATAAGTATCATACACTTTAGAATGTCGTTTGTCATATATCGGCTATAATCCATTCCGTAAATTCTAAAGTTTAGACGTATGTCCTTCTTTATTTTATCCGAAATGGAACTAGCGTATATATAAATTGTCTCTATCCATTTCTTTGAAAATATTTTTCGGTAGAAATATTCCCAAAAATTTTATTTCTTTCCATGTGTTAAGTGTGAAACGGTCATGTACATATATGTACGTGGTGCATTTATGTGCAGAAACCTATTGAACATTGGAAGCTCAAAGCTTGAAATAACTTTGGAGTAATTCACATATTTTTATAGATTCATTTCTGCGGTATATTTATTTCTACATGAACAAATATTAAGATAAATACATTTAATGGTTTATGTGATTGTTCTCTAAATAACAATCTAGCTTGTTTTTCGATTGTCTTACTTCAAGTGATGCTTACAATTTTCTTGATTCAGACATAAATAATTTTACAATTAGATTATTCTCTAACATAAATATTTTATATTTACTTACTACTTTCAATACTGCCAAAGAAAAGGCACAAAATATTTCTTAAACGAAGCCCGAATATTCAAAACTTTAAGTACAACAAAATTTGGCAAAATTTCGGAACCGTATATCGATGTTTGGAAATATATCTTGTAGTATTTTTCACATTTGTTATTTTTATTTTTTAGTTTTTATTATTTCTCTTTTTTAGTTTTTCTCTGAATGTATTTTTATTTCATTTTGTATGCTGCAATTAGAAAACCGTATTCCTGTGTCGCCTTATGCACGCGTGTATCACAGTTCATAGGGATTCGCATTGTCGAGGACACTCTTAATGGCAGGATACGGGCGCTAAGACCATATCCTCCTTGGCGTGCCTCTCATCACGTTCCTTTTGGACGCCTCGAAATCCTATTCGGGCGGACTCACCGTACCCCTTCGAATGATCAACTTCAAGTCTTGCTCCTGGAATGTGGCCTGTATAACCGGGGATCGGCGGTTTTTCTGAGTCGACATTATAATCTGCAACGAAAATAATTACACAATAGTTCTTGGAACTTGATGCCTCACTTCGAGCTTCAATAGAACTTCAATCTTGTAATCAATTATAATCAGGACATTTTTGTTACGAAAATCTTATTAAAAGCATGCATTTTATGTATTTTAAGTTTTGGATAAATCTTTGTTAACCTCTAATATATATATCTTTCAACTTGGTCTTTTATTTTCGTTATTATTTTAGAAGTAAACGATATTAATTAATTGTTTTTGGAATAACGCAATCCATTGTTATATTAAATTAGAAATGACAGAAATTGACAAGCAACGTAATATGCAAGTACCATAGGTCCTTCTGTCTTTGCCATAACCGTCATTGATCTCAAAGTCCACATTGTCTGTCCTCTCTTGAGATAAAAGATTTCTCGAATCACGTTCCTTTTGGACACCTCGAAATCCTATCCGGGCGGACTCACCGTACCCCTTTGAATGATCAACTTCAAGTCTCGCTCCTGGAATGTGGCCTGTATAACCGAGGATCGGCGGTTTTTCTGAGTCGACATGATAATCTGTAACGAAAATAATAATTACACAATAGTTCTTGGAACTTGATGCTTCGCTTCGAGCCTCAATAAAAATGTCCTGATTGTAATAATTGATTAAAAGATTCAAGTTCTATTGAGGCTTGAAGCGAAAGATATATTATATCTTTCAACTTGGTCTTTTATTTTAGTTATTATTTTAGAAGAAAACGATTAATTAATTGTATTTGGAATAACGCAATATGTATTGTTAGATTAAATTATAAATGACAGAAATTAACAAGCAACGTAATATGCAAGTACCGTAGGTCCTTCTGTCTTTGCCATCACCGTCATCGATCTCATAATCCACATTATCTGCCCTCGCTCCAGATAGATGTGTCGGATTTGTCTGCTCTATCAGAGCGTGAGCCCTTATCGCGTCCTGTTCCCACAGCTTCAATTGCGTTTTATGCCACTCTTTGCCACCGACTTCCACGGCTTTCATGAAAGTCATGCCGTAGGTATGTCTGTCGTTGCGGCCAGGAATAAATCCTGTGATAAATGAAGAAAACGTAAAATATAAATCTCTTTGTGGATGAATGCATTGTATAAAAAGCATCAAATCCTATACTAATGTAATCTTTATATGTATATATTATAATATAATATGTATGTATATATGTTACATTATACATTTTTTTATATGTATATATTATAATATATAGTATTTTTAATTAATTATAATAGTGTTTAGTATTTATTATATTATTATAATAGTATAATTTTCGTATTAATATATCAAGAGACGAGAAAAAATACATTTCTTATAAATATTTCTTAAGTTGATCCAGTTGACATAAAAAATACTTTTAATTAAAATATCAAAATGTGTCTCGTCCGTATATTGCATAACTTTTTTATGCTGCTTATGTTGGATTAATGCCGCGCGAAAATACTTGGCGTATGAATGTCGCGTTACAATCGCGCGAGAGCGGCATACCGACACGCTGATATTAACCGCGAATCATATACGTTTTGCTTTCCATTAAGCTATATGGACTTTTACCTATATGGAAATGTATAATATACGTAACGTATACTATAGATAGTATAGATTTTCAGCTCTGGCAATGAATTTAGAAACTCAGCTTATTTCGTAGGGAGAAATTGAAAAAAACGTCGTTTGGGCTCGCCGCTCGGGCGATTCTTACCGGTATATCCTAGAATGTACGGAGCTACCGTGCAAAACATAGCTTCGTTATTCCATCCTTTTATGATCTTTTTATCCTGAAGAGTTGGATACTCTTCCGCCTTCATACCGGAATATTGCCTATTTGGTTCAGTTTCAAGAACCTTACTTTCCAACAAATCCGTTTCCTGTAACAATACATAATATAAAATTAAATTTCGAAGTGCGTAATTATTATACAATCTTTTTTATTCAAGTTTCTCTATAAATAAACACGTCTTTTTTATTTCAACAGTTTAATTAATTTCTATATAATCTTTCGATATCTCCTCTTCTTACCTTCATTATCGGCATACCTGCCGTACTCGCTCCGAATCTCTTCCCAATGCGAAATTAAGGGTGGGACAGTGACCCGTGTACCTAAAAGTAAACACGCCATGATATTAGTGATTTTCAAATTATAAGAGACTTTCATTGGATTGTGAGCATTTATGTAATGTTGGTATCATACATAATACTCTGATAAAAAAACGGGCACAGCAAAAACTGTGCCGCAACCAACAACGTAGAACTACGTCTACTGTCACTAGTTTATGTTAAACTTCAAAGTATTCAGCGAAGGACAGTTGATGTAGCCCTACGTCAACTGTCCTTCGCTGAATACTTCAACATGAGCTATAGTGACAGTAGACGTAGTTCTACGTTGTTGGTTGCGGCACAGTTGTTACTGTGCCCGTTTTTTTATCAGAGTATTATGTATGATACCAACATTACATAAATGTTCACAATCAACCAATGAAAGTCGACCGAGCGATTAACCGAAAACCGTTTCTCCAAGTTTCGGGTCAATCTGTAAAAATATTTCTAAGAAGTTTCTATAAAGCAATTGAAACCTGCTTTATTCTTTTAACGCTACATATGTTTATACCCCATAGTCATTTATTTTGATCACAGATTTCCGGATCGATCTCGATTCCTTTGCGAATGTGCTATTTTAATTATTCACGGCCGGTATACATATTTTATACAGAAGTTACAGGTAGACAAGTATACTTCGCGTGTATGTTTAAATTTTTTTTCTCGGAATACGATAGTGCAAAATTATGACCTATTACGCGAACGTTATAGGCGTTTTTCTGCCCGGTGAAGCGTATCTAATTCTTTAGATATCTTGCGCGACATACGCACGCACGGTGGCTTCTTCGTTAGATCTATTTGTGGTTACATCGCTACATATTGCGTAGGTTGGGTTCGGAAACGTCACCCGGGTACACATGGGTATACTCCCTTCTCTTTCAATCTCAGCGAGTTAGAAAGAGAAGGGTACTCCCTTCTCTTTCAATCTCAGCGAGTTAGAAAGAGATGGGTACTCACTTCTCTTTCAATCTCAGCGAGTTAGAAAGAGA